CAGTTGGCCATGTGGGAGTCCAGCGCCTTAACCACCACACCACCACTGGCCACAGTATGTTTCTTTTATACCTACTTTGTTGAGGGTTTTTATCATGAATGGATATTGAATTTTATCAAATGTTTTTTCTATGTCGATTGAGATGATCATATGCTTTTTTGTCTTTCATTCCATGGTAGGATGTGTTGCATTTATTGATTTGTGTATGTTGAACTATCCTTGCATCTCTGGAATAAATCTCAGTCATGGTGTATAAGCTTTTTAATATGCTGTTGTATTCAGTTTGCTAGTATTTTATTGAGGATTTTTGCTTCTGTGTTCATCAAGGATACTGGTCTGTACTTTCCTTTTTGTTGTGTCCTTGTCTGATTCGATATCAGGTAATGCTTGCCTCATAGAATGAGTTTGCAAGAATTCTATCCCCTTGAGTTTTTTGGAATAATTTGAGAAGAATTGATGTTAATTTTTTACATATGTAGTTAAGTAGAATTCAGCAATGAAGCCATTGATCCTGAGCTTTTCTTACTGACTCAATCTTATTACTCACTTTTGATCTGTTCTAGTTTTCTGTTTTCTTCCTGGTTCAATCTTGGTAGGTTTTAAATACCTAGAAATTTATCCATTTCCTCTAGGTTTTCCATATTGTTAGCATACAGTTATTAATAATAGTCCTAGTAGATCCTTCATATTTCTGAATGAGTTATAATGTCACCTTTTTTGTCTCTGATTTTATTTATTTGAATCTTCTCTCTTTTTTTTCCCCATCTAACTAATGGTTTGTCAGTTTTATCTTTTCATTGATCTTTGGCATTGTTTTTTCAGTCTCCTTTTCTTTATTTTTACTCTGATATTTGCTATTTCTTTTCTTCTACTAATTTTAGGTTTTATTTGTGCTTGCATTCCTAGCCCTTTGAGGTACATTGTGAAGTTGTTGAAATCTTTCTACTTGTTTTGATGTATGCATTTATTGCTCTAAACTTCCCTCTTAGTACTGCTTTTATTATATCCCATAAGTTTGGTATATTGTGTTTTCATTTTAGTTTGTTTCATAGTGTCCAATTCCCTTCTTAATTTCTTCATTGACCTAGCGGTTGTTCAGAAACTTATCATTTAATTCCCATGTATTTGTACAGTTTCCAAAGTTCCTGTTGTTATTGCTTTCTAGTTTCATTCCATTGTGGGCATAAAAGGAGTATGGTATTATTTCAGTTCGTTTTGTTTATTTTATAGAGAGATTTTTACAATAGGATGTGTACACTTGCTGGAGGGACAGAGACAGAGAGACAGAAAGTGAGAAATCACCCCCCCCAGGGGGAATGGCCACATTGCAATCCCTTTTCCTCCATTCTCCTCTCAGGACTTTGGGCTCTCCTCTCAGGACTTTGGACACACACACACACACACACACACACACACACACACGCATCTAGCATGAGTTTTAAGCTACCAGATTTGGGACTTGAACCATGGTCAACCACATGGAAGTCTAGCGACATAACTATTACGTTATCTGCTGGTCTCAAGACTATCATTGATAAGTGAGGATTTCTGTCATTTGTTAATAATTTTCTGGTTGTTTTTTATTTTCTTTGTCCCTTTCTTTTTTAAAAAAAAATTATTATTTTATGTAACTGTATTTATTTATTTGCTTTAATTTGACCAGAGAGGGACAGAGTGAGAGAGAAAGAGAAAGGGAGAGTAAGAAATCAAGCTGCCAGGTCCAGAACTTGAGCCTTGGTCAGCCATGTGGGAGCCCAGCACCCTCAACCACCATGTCACCTGCCAGCCCCCTATCTTATTATCTTTGTGGTATGATGGTTTTATCTAGGATTATGGATTGGGTCTTCTTTCTTATTTGTGTATCTGTGCTAAAAATTATTTTTATACTTTTGTGTGTTTTATGATGGCAGTTATCATCCCTTCGCTTTCAGAACTCCCTTAAATATTTTTTTATAAAGCTGATCTAATAGAAATCAATTACCTCAGTTTTTGCTTGTCTTAGAAAGACTTTATTGCTCCTTAATTTCTGAAGGGTAGCTTTGCTGGATATTGTATTCTTGGCTGATAGGAGTTTCATTTTCTTTAAGCATCCATTCTGTTCTGGCATGTAAAGTTTCTACTGAGAAATTTGCTACTAGTCTAATGGAGGTTCCCTTATGTGACTTTACACTTTTGTCTTGGTATTTTCAGAATTCTCTATCTTTGGTTTTCAACAGTTTGACTGTAATGTGCCTTGGAGAGAGGATCTTTATGGGTTGAATATATTTGGAGACCTTTTGAGATTCCTGGATCTCAATGTCCATATCTTTTCCAAGACTTGGGAATTTTTTAGCTATTATTCACATGTCTTTTCCCATCTCAATTTTTCTTCTAAAACTCTTGTAATATGAACATTTATCCACCTAATGGTGTCTCATAGGTCCTATAGGCTTTCTGTATTCTTTCTTATTCTTTTTTTGTTTTGTTCCTGTCAGAAGACCTGTCTTCAAGTTCAGAATTCTTTCTTCTGCTTGATCAAATCTCTTATTGAACTTCTTGATTGTATTTTTTATTTGAGTTTTGAGTTTTCCAGCTCAAAGATTTATGTTCATTCTATTTTATGTTACCTATCACTTTGTTGAATTTTTAAAAATATTTCATTATTATTTTTAATTTGATGAGGGAAGATGTGAGAGAGCAAGTCACCATGTCTGAGACTTGAACCGTGGTCAGCCATGTAGGAGTCCAGCACCTTAATTACCCAGCCACCTGCCAGCCCCCACTTTGTTGAATTTCTCAATCAGATCATAATTGTTTTCTGATTTTATTGAATTGCCTATATCCTCATATTTTGCTGTTTCCTTCTTATCATCATTTTGAACTCCTTCTCAGATACTTCATAGATTTCTTTCTTTTGGGGTCTGTTTGCTAGAGAATTATTGTGTTCCTTTGGAATGGCACAATATCTTACTTTTTCATGTTTCTTGTGTTTCTCCTATGTTCTATTTGTATATCTGGTTGAACATTTGCCACTATCAATTTTATATGATGGTTTTCATAGTCAACGACTTCTGTAGATGAGTCCTAGAATGCTGGTTGGGTAGACTGTGTTGGCTTTTGTTCTAGGTGAGCATGGTGCCATAGTGTCTATGTCATTTCTTTAGTTGTAATCAGCATTAGTAATCCTTGGGAGTGCCTGAGTGGCTTAGGATGCAGGAGTTTGTGAGGCTGGCCTGTTGCTTGGGAATCAGCTCTCTTAAAGGCAAGGAAGTTCATGGATGGGCAGGGCTCCACAGTGGCTGGCTCTGAGCCGGTCTTTAAGATACAGAGGTAGGTGTGGTCACAAGATGGCAGCCTGGGGGGAGGGCAGGGTAAAACAGGTTCTGGACTCCTCAGGAATAGTTCCAGAGCATAGGTCTTCCATCTACTCCCTAAATTGAACTCAGGGCCTGTGAAGACTGTAGGATTCCCTTTACTGACCTCAGGTGTCCAAGGTGTTCATGAGGGCTTATGGGGTCTCAAGCTTACCTCTTCCAGTTGTGAAAGTCCCTTCCAACTCCCAGCTCATTTTGACTGGGGAGATGAGGCAGCAGATGCAGATGGTTGCTTCCCTTTCTGTGAGGCTGTCCTGTGTCTCTGTGCTCTGTAGCATCTCTACCACACCCCCTCTGTACTCACATGTGCTCTCTCCAGTATGCCATCTGAATCTCATCTGCATATTGTTTGGGTCCTTTTTAGGGAAGAAAGTATGTTAGGTACCTCCAGTCAGCCATGTTGCTGAAAGTCTGGCTTTTTTATTATAAGAGCTATTTTGGATACATCATATACCATGCCATTCACTCCAATTTATTTTTTAATGTTAATTTTCTTTTCTTTTCTTTCTTTCTATTTTTTTCTTTTTTTTAGATTTTTTGCAGGAGGGCTCATGTACTCATCTGAGAGAGAGAGAGAAAGAGGAGCTAAAGTGAGAAATCATCCCCCCAGAGGGATGGCTATGCCACAATCTCTTCTCCTCTTATGATTTTGGGCATACATGCACATAGGCCAGCATGTTTTTCAAGCCACTGGTCAGGACTCTGGCCACAGAGTCAGCCATGTGGAATCCAGTGCCTTGGTCACCTTGCCACCTGCTGGTCCCATTCACCCCACACCAAATGCACAATCCAGTGGTTTTTAATTGTATTTACAGGGTTTCGTGACCATCACCACAATCAACTCCTGCAGACTCTCAACCCATTGGCAAGAATAAATTAATCAATTAAAAAAGAGGCTAGGTCCGTGAGACAAAAATCCATTTATTTTTATCCTGACTGATCAAAGTGCATTTATAGGGGCCAGCTGGTGGCATAATGGCTAAGGCAGCTAAATTCCACATGACAGTTTGAGTCTTGGACCCAGCAGTTTGAAAAACATGCAGGACATGTATGCCTAATTCCAAGAGTAGAATGGAGGAGAAGGGATTGCAGTATGGCTGTCCTCCTGGCCGGGGGTGATTTCTCACTCCACACCCCCACCTGCAGCCACCTCCATCTCTCTCCAGCAAGTGCATATGATTCTGCAGCAAATTAAAAACAAAACAATTGAGGGACCAGCAGTTAGTGTAATGACTATGTTACTGAACTCCTATGTAGCCGACTACGGTTCGAATCCCGGACCCGGTGGCTTAAAGTCATGCCAGGCGAGTGTGCGTGTGTGCCCAAGATCCCAAGAGGAGAATGGAGGAGAAGGGATTGCGGCGTGGCCATCCCCCCAGGTGGTGATTTCTCTCGTTCTATCTCTCTGTCTCTCTGTCTTTCTTACGAGCGCACACACCCTATAGCAAAAACCTCTCCAAAAAATTTTTTTGAACAAAAAACGTGTTCACAACTTGCTGGTAGTTGCTGTCAGGTGCCTGTGGGAAAGACTTCCTCCCACTCCCGTGTGGCAGCTACCAAAGCCAAGCAGGCCTACCCGACCCCTGGAGCTCCAGGGTTGTGCGATGAACATCACTCACTCATGGGCCTTTTCCTCTTCTCAACCAGGTGTTCCACTGTGTCCACTTTGAGTGTCCAGAGCAGCAGAGCAGCCAGAAGGAGGAGAACAGCGAGGAATCGGGGACAGGGGACAGCAGTACAGCCGGTCAACAGCTGGTCGAGCCACATGCCCTGCGGGCCCCCAGTGGCAGCTCCCTGCCCTCCAGCCCAGGCTCCAACTCGCGCTCCCCCAACCGGCAGCAGCAATAAAAGAGACAGCAGATGTGGTGTGACTCGGGTGGCCCCAGACGGCAGCAGGAAGGTGTCCTCCTTGAGCAGGGTTTTGTCGGCTGTCCCCTCCCCTCATTTCCAGGGAGGAGCAGATCTGGCTGCAAAAACAGACACAGAACCGGTTTCCTCCCAAGGACTGGAAGGGGCTGCTTTGTTCCCCTCAATTTGTTCAAATCAGGCTGGTCTCCAGAGGGAGCAAATGGGTCTTCAATCTTCATCAAGTCCACCATTAACACCCTACCTCTCTAATCTAACCCAGCAAAGGGAGCGGAAGGAGCAACAGGCCGCGCTGGTGTATGGAATGGCCCACGAGCGCTCCCGCAGAAGACACTGCTAGGCCTTTATTACCCAGAGGCACCCTTTAGACGCGGGATTCCACAGTGTTTGTTTCTGTGGAGCACATTGCCCCAGCAGCTATATGATTTATTTCTTTAGTTATTCTCCATTTGCTGAATCATAGGTGTTCCAGATCCTTCTGAAATGCTCAAACAGCAAACCATCTGTCTGAATCCCTCTCGCTGCTGTCACTACCTGCCCTGGTGCCGAGCACTGCGGCTGGGGTAGAGCGGACGGGAGACCCATTGTGCACGGCTCCTAGATGAGCCCCAGAGGCAGCTGCTCATGGCGCCTGATCTGATGGGGAAAATCCTTTGAGGAAGTTCAACAAAATACACAATGAGCAAATCAGTCCGTGGACACGGGGGCTGGCCATCACTCGGAGGCCGAGTTACCAACCTGTCATTTCTGAAACGTACCCAGCCTGTAAGCTCGGGAGGCTGACCAGGAGACAGTCATCGTGCAGCTGCTAATTTAATGCTCCGAACTGTGTAGATATGTCCACACCAAGTCCCCGCTTGGCCGAACCCACCCAGGACTCTCCGCGGTCTGGCTGCCCTCCCTCTGCTGCTCTCCTGCCCTTCAGCGTCCGGAATACGAAACCGGGATGAGGCCTCCAGGAGGGGCTGCTCGGGTTTTCTCCCACACCACAGCACGCACCTGGGGATGGAAAACTCGCCATGCTGAGAAGCTCTTCTAATCCTCGGCAGATTGCGTCTGAGTCCAGTCGCTCGGCCCGGCCCTCACTTAGTGGTTCCCTTCCAGGTGTCCTGCCCTCGGCCCACTCGCAGGTCTGCTCGCTCCTGCAGCTCAGCCGCACCGCTGCCTCCTAACACAAGGAGGGGTGAGGCCCGTTCTGTCAGGCGCTGTGGGTGGAGAGCGCCAGCTGTCAGCAGGCTGTCTTCTACTGTGACTTGGTTTTGAGGGACTTGTCCCAGTTGGACTGGGGACATCCCAAGTGCGTGATTGAATGGGAAGTCTTCTTCCTGTGTGAGCACAGGTCGCCGAGGGCATGGGCCACCCAGGCGGGGCGGGGGTGGCCCTGGTCAGGAGGAACCGCAGGGGTCAGTGCAGCCAAGCCACTCCTTCTCCCCACAGCTCCGACCTCAGCCGCTTCCCCGCTGGCCCAGGCACCCCCACATGAGGAGGCTCCTGTGACTAATGGCCGGAGCCCACAGGCGCTGGGGGCCGCGCTGCCTTGTCACGGTTAGTGCCGAGGGCTCAGCACGGTTAGTGCCTGAGACCAAGCCGCCAGGCCAGCTGAGGGCTGGTTCAGGTGTTTGGAAAGAGCTGTCTAGGCTGCTGCTTCTATGCCCAAGCCGCACCGGTCACCAGGGCCCAAGGAACTCCACTCCCACCTGGAGGGCGTCCACGACAGACCTGCAGGGAGACCCTCTGCGGAAGCTGCCAGCTCCTGCCTGCCCCTGGGGCAGCTGACTGGGGGAGGTGCATCCAGATCTCCGCCCGTCCTCTCCTCCAGCACTCTGAAGCTGCCCCTGTGAGCAGGGAGGAGGCCGGGAAGGCGGGCAGCGCTGTGCCTGCAGGCAAGGCTAAGGGTGGTCCTGATGCTTACACCCAGCCGAGGCCCCAAGGTCCCCAATCCTGTGTGGACACCCTGGGGAGGCCTCGTGCAACCGAGCCTGCCGCATGGTCTGGGACAACATGGGCCCGGCCCAGCTGCAGAGCTCCGCTTCCGTTGGCCTCCTGATGGCTGGGGCTTGTCCAGCTGGGCCTGGAGGCCACAGTCCAGACACGTCACACCAGATGTGCCCAGCGCAAGGCCCACACTGCACAGGACAGGGAGGAGCAGGTGGCCTGGAGTTCCCCAGACCTGGCTAGTCCTCCAGAGGGCTTCTCCCCAGGGCCAGCAGGACCAAAGGGGCCTAGAGCTTGGAGCTCAATGTGAGTGCTGCTGCTGAAAAGGGCTGGCAGGATTCCCAGTGCCCACACAGCCCCCTGCCCAGCAGAGGGGAGAGGCCTAGTCCCCTGGGAATGGGGCGGGGGTGGGGGGGACATAAGGAGCCACAGGGTGTGGGAACAGAGAAGGAGTTGTGACTCCTCCACCCCTCAGCCAGCCCCAGGAGTGACTCGCTGGTGTGGACACTGTCCCTGATGGGGTCCAGGTGGAGGAGTGCTAAGGACGGACCAGACCCTGCAAGACATGGTGGCTGTGGCCTCTGTCCCTCACGGTGGCCGGATCCCCTGCCCTTCACTTCTGATCATGTTTGTCGGGAGACCTTCAGTGGGAAAAGGCCTTCCAAACCACCTTCCACAGCTCTTGGGAGAGCCATCCGGGGTGGCACTGCGTGGGCTGGCAGGGAGGCTACTGTGGGGACAGCGGCCTCGTCCCAGCAGCCCGCCCAGTCAGAGGTCTTAGAGGCAGGTTCGCGGCACGCACTTTGGACTCGAAGCAGCTGTGGAGCTGTCACACTCGCACCCGCTTGTTCCCACACGCTCAGCGCTTTTCTGTTTTCCTTCTCATTTTAGTTAGAGCCGTGAGGCCTGATGGATGTGGGCCTCTTCTCAATTGCTCTTTAAATTGTCACTTTTTTAATCTTATTAAATGAAGTGTCGATTCCTGACAAATACATTAAAAGTGTTTTATTCCTAGAAGAGTTGGGAAAAGAAATTATTTTCAGTAAGAGTGGGATGTGTTTGTTAGACTGAGTCCTTGGCAAAAAACAAAAAAACAAAACAAAACAAAAACCCAGAAAAATGAGTTTTTGAATCGTGCAGAAATTGCTCAGTAGTTACGCTGTCGCCCCAGTTGTCACACTGCTGTGCAGACAGCTCCAACCCAGTCAGCGTCACCTTCTTTTTAATTTAGAAGATAACAAAATTGTGATCACTTACCCTTTCGAGAGCCAAGGGAAGAAAAGGCAGGTATAATCTACAATGAAAAGCAGAGCGTGCCGCGCCGAGGCCACTGGTGATAACTATGCGCTCTCCCGCCCCGGACTTCAATTAAGGGGGAAAGGCGTCAACGAGGAAAGAAAATTAAATTTGCCTCTTTCCAGGAGTTTGTCCTCGTTAGTGTGGTTATTTTCATCTCGCCTTCCTGCTGTCCAGTTCCTCCGAATGACACCAGGGAGCCGGGCAGGGCAGGGCCCCGGTGATGGCTGGTGGCAGCGGCCACACCCCGCTCCG